TGGACATCAGTGTCAGTGCCCAGTGTGTATAATAAGAGCTGCTGTGGGCCGTTGTGTGAAGCCTCTGTAGCCAAACGTGAGAGTCTCAGGCACTGAGTGGCACCGAGGGCATCACCAAGCCAGCGGCCACCAAGCATGACGACATATGTGGAAAAGAAAACAAAGCCAATGGGGATTAAGGGGTCCTCGTCTCTCCTCCAGCGAGCTCATCACCACACACTCGGTCTGGCTGCAGACGCTCACTGTCGAGCATTCCCGGACAGCGTGGCTTTTACACACTCGAATAACAATAACACCCAGCTAAAGTGAAGCCCATATATGTCATGTTATTTCTGGTACTCCCGCGTAGAACTGATTACGGGCTTTCAGATGGATTTAGCACGTCCTATTGCTCCGATGAAAGAGTGTTGAAAATATTTGCAAGGCAATTTAAAAAGACTCATCATAGTTAAGGCTGTAAAATCTAATTAGTTGGGATTACTCAATCACCTCGGATCGGAGTTGCCCAAGCTTAATTTTATTTTGTTGGGGGTGCCGTACATATCAGTACAAATTACTGACTAAATGAATTGAAGGCAAATGTCAAGAAAATTATTCCCCATAAATCATTGGGGTAAACTCAACTAATGCGTTTCCGCAGTCTATAGGGATTTGAGCACTTTCTTGGCTTATTCACTCACCACTAGTCAATGATGTTCCAACCACTGACACTCACCCCACTAATTACAATAAGAACTATCCTTTTTATAAACTGATAACATCTAATAATGATGATTGAGACACTGTGTTGTCCCAGATGCAATAGCAGACAAAGGACCTTCACATCTCAGCAGTGTGCAAGAAGCTAAACGTCAAATGAAGAAGAAACATTTCAGTCTAAAACAGACAGAGAAGAAGAAAAAACATACAGGGAAACTAATTTCCAGCCCTGAGTCAGATATGTAATATTGCGGCTTTTCATCTTTCAGTCAAAAAGCTTAGGCGCTAAGAAGATTACGGGGGAGAAATCAGCAATGTCGATAATGCGTGGGGGGAGGGACGGGGTGTATGTGTGTGTGTGTGTGTGTGTGTGGGTGGGTAGGGTGTGGGGGGGGGTGATGGCTGGGTATTAACTACTGAAAACCGCAATCATGGTGCGGGATTAAGACAAAGCTTTAATATTGTGCCATGCTCTGCTCAAAGGCACAGGAGCAGGGCGTGGGATCAGTGGCCTGGACAGACTAAAATAAATATCTACACACTTCTCAGCAAGGAACGAGCTGCGGCTCATCTTTGAGAAAATAGATGATGCAACACTCATTGATTCGACTTATTTTGACCCAGGTGTGGCTGCCTCTGTGCAGCAGAGTCATACATTTACAGAGCTGCTGCACAATTTTTAAAAATCAAATAGTAAATTAGAAATTTTACAAGCAAATTAGCTTCTCTCTAACGTCCTCATATTACTCACCATGAGATATCTGAACTCTATATTCCACCAAAGAACCTGCGTCTTGCATTTCTTATCTGTTTACTACAGCGAAAGAAGTACAGAAAGACTACTGCAGAACACTCTACTCATAAAGACATGATGGAGTAAATCTTTCAGCATTATTAAGTTAATTTATCATGTTTGTTATCAACTACAAATTAAAAAGGTACGAGGTGAAGTAAGTTACGATGTGTGTAAGACAGAAGCTTATCTTAAAGACTTGCATTGGCTACCTTTCTTGGTGTAAACTGTGACCCACATATCACTTGCTATGTATTTGTGGTCAGGATCTGGATTTAATATAATACAGCATAAGTGAGATGCTGAGTGAAACGAATATTTTTCTAATAATGCCTCACAAATTAGAATCCCAAATTAAGCTTAATTCCATAAGCATAAGCCTTCTTCTCAATTTCTAGCTTCAGTTACTGCTCAGTTTATTCAGTGTCCTTTCCATCTTCTAACCTTCCATTGGTAGTCTCCATATGACAACCGGACCACTGTCAGTTGAATATTTTTAGGTGGACTATTCATTTAAACAATGACTCTTTTCAACCTAGGATTCAGGCGTCATCTTAGAGTTTAATAGCAAAAAAAATTGACATTTTTAGATATTTTATGATCTTACATTTTTTATGACCAAGGCATTTTAAGGAATTGAAGAAATAGCCTGCATTAGTTTCAGAAAAAGCCTGCATTAGTCAGTTAGTTACATCATGTATGTTTTGCTAATTTTAAGTTTCACAGCCACATTCAAATCCAACTGGCAATGAGCAAATAATTAATTTTGAAAGTAGTATTACACCACAACTGATTTCCACAGTGACATGTGAAAAACAGTACATAGGCTCCTGCAGCGTCCTTAGTCTTGTATGATCTCAGCAGGTTTGACTGCGCCTGTAATGTTCTGCTCCTCATGACACAGGACAAACTATTAATAACAATAAATAGTCTGGCTTGGATGGTGTCTTTCAATAGTTCATTTTACGAACCTGTCTTCACTGCTTGTACTAGAGGCAGTTATGATGACAATGATGGTGTTTTACACACTCGTTGACAGTCAGTGGTATTGATGGCATGTTTACTGTTTGTGTACTATACAAAACAATGTGAAACCATTCTACACACTTAATGAGCTGCCTAAGGTGAGCAACAGCTCAAAAACTATTAACAGATAATGTCTCTCCTTGTCAAAGTCTGGAAACAATCTGTTGATGTCTGTCCAAATTTACTGAAAACAAGTGTCTGTAAAGAATTTTCTCAGAAATAACAATTGGAAGATCAACAAATTTGCAGTCCCCTGCTAGCGCCCATCATCATGCAGTCCAAAAGCTAATCAACTCCTACTCCTAGTCTACAAAAGCAGCAAACACCTGTGTATCCAGCATCACTGTGGATCACTCCATCTTCTTCTCTCCCACTCATTCACTCACTCACTCCCACCCTCACTCACTGACTCACTTCACTCACTCATTCACCCTGCTTGCTCACTGTTCCACCACTGAATACCCAAAGATAAACAGAGCAATGAATTGTTTTTAAAATACATTTTAGTTCCAGGAAGTTAGGCTTTTCTATATCCTTATTTGGTTTCACGTTAATTCAAAACATTCTCCAAACTGTACGTGAATCATCTGTTGTATATCATGATAATTACTATTTTCATTAACAATGTTATTACTGTAATGATTTTTGGCAACCCTATCATACTGCTGCTTTTTGGCCATTGCACGTTGAGGGAGAAAAGTCCACAGACACAAGGTTATTGTAAAATATGGCTGTCATTTTCTGCGAAACCTTGCAGGACCTATATTTGGAGAGAAGGCATCTAATAAATCTCTTCGCCTGCAATAACGAACACTGGCCAGATTTCAGCCAATACTGCTGTGACCAGCTAATTGCCTCAGAATTAAATGCTGCTGTGGCACTTATCTAAGATGAAGTAAGAAGAGAGGCTTTCGTGGAGGGAAGTGGCCCTTCCAGCCGCTGAGAGGTTTCTAAACCAGTCTGAATCAGACATGCCGGACACTGCTTCCGAAAAAAAAGCTTCTCCTCCCCCCACTCTGGGGGCAGCACAGCAGGTGGACCTTTTGATTTGTAACCAAGGAAAAGCTCACACTCATTTCCATACAGATGCCCCCTTCACTGCAGAGGAAGACCTCCCCTGACAACACTCCACTCCAGAAAACCACCATAGCACCATCACACCAGTGTAGCTTTAAAGCAATGGTTCAGCGACAAATAAAATTCATAAAACGATCCCCTTATTCCAGATATAGTGATCAGCCAAGACATGTTTGGTGTCTAAAGTTTGCCTTTTTAGGTTTGGATTGGCACTACAAGGCTAATGAAGCTAACAAGTAATAGAATCATATGCCCTAGCATTCAGCACTCCATTTCATCACAAACTTGCCTCGAGCCACATCAAGTTGTTAAGTAATCTCGAATAGATTTGCTTATGTGGTTTCTGGCACTGTATGACAAAATCTGGATGGAAATATGGAAAAAATTATGGGCAAAATTCAGCGTTTCAAGTTTGCAGTTTGAGGCAAGTATGTGATGATTTAGGCATGCCGTTAATTTATAGGCTTCCATCACTTGTTAGCTACATTAGTTGTACAGCTCCAGTGCAAAACCACAAAAGCAAACTTCGGCTACAAACACATCTTGGCTGATCTAATATATCTGGGATACGAGCAAAACCGTGCAAATTTGATTTTCACCAAACACAAAGCATCTCCTGCATTCTCCTTTTGCCGTAATTCATTAGTCATTTCAAGTACTCCAAACACTGGAACATTAGAACAGTCAAAGTTGCCAAAGCCAATGAAAGGGCGTAGGACGGGGCTTTGTAGGGAGGTGTCTCGCATCTGGCATCTGCTCTGAGCCCGGAGTGTCCCGGGGGAAAGGGACAGAGGTGCCCTGTTGGTCACGCCAACTTTGGGAGGATGAGCGAGTCACACAAAGCTCTTTTAAGCACGAGCCCAGAAGCCCCCCGCTACTCCTCACTTCCTCTCGGACAAACATTCAAAAGAATTCCAGCCCATATAAATGATCTATTCCTCACATAAAAGAAGCTATAGACACACACTGACTGCAATGCACATATCACTGAACTGTACCAAGATCCAAGGCTCAGGATGAGGAGTTCCTTCTATAACTCTATTCTCCCTCCTCACTACAGTCTATATGCTTTTTTTGTCCCCTCTTGATCTGCCACGCCATGCAACCTTAGTCTTGATAAAGGCCATGTGTGGTGGCCACATGCCCAAAGGTGACGTCCTTCCCATATGATTCTCATTGAAGGCAAGGCTCAGCGTGTCTGGGAGAGAAGGCCACACTGTGGTGTCTTGGTTAAGACTGCATTCATTCATTACATATACAACGACATGATGATACCTGATAACAGGGCGCTTTCACAACTGGGTGCAACAGTGTGTGGATGCTGAAGCAAATACAATAGCAGATAATAGACTAAGAACTTCAAAAATAAACTGTTGGTCTCTTCTCTTTACATCTGGAGACTCACCTGGGTAGAAGTCTTTGGATTTGGACAGCTTGATGGTGGCACCTGTCTCTTTTTGTAACTGCACAATCGTCTGACCACCTTTGCCAATAATGGAGCCTGCTGCGTAACTTGGGATCAGCACCTTCAAAAAGTACTCGCCTTCTTCTGGAGACAGAAAAAAACAAGAGGATAATCAGTCATTTCACCAAAACTTTAACATAGTCTTACCCCAAATACTACATCTTGTGCAGTTATGATAAATTATGCATGAATCAGTTAAAACATATATTAATGTTAATTAATTTGTGAAAAAACATTGGCTGATGCTGAATAAACTGATTAATTTCCAGGTAATACAAAGAACCTGCTTTGTTAAAGTTACAGCATATATCATTTCTCAACAAAAATGTGCTCAGTCACCACTATAAATTTTCATCAACTTCAGGCTTTAAATGAGATTAATTAAAAAACATCTCAATGTAGCTACATTCATTGGTTATAAGTCCCAGATGCCAACATTATCCACGGCAGGGAGTCCAAAAGAGCATAACTGTGTCCGCTCTACCACCCCGCCACCCATCACTCAGTGAGATGCTAGCCAAGCAAGTGTCTGATCGGTAACAGAACTGCATTCTCCTCCAAGTGCGTTGAGCTGACTAATATCATTGTGTTAGCTAGCTGGTGGAATTTGCTAGAACTGGGTAAATATATTCATATATATATACACAAATCAGACATATCATTAAAAACATCTCCTTGTTTCTACACTCATTATCCATTTTATCAGCCCTACTTACCATATAGGTGCACTTTGTAGCTCTACAATAACAGACTGTTTCTCTGCATACTTTGTTAGCCCCCTTTTACCCTGATCTTCAATGATCAGGACCCCCACAGGACCACAACCGACCAGGTATTAACTGGGTGGTGGATTATTCTTAGCACTGCAGTGATACAGTTTCTGTTGGTCATCCTCTAGTCCCTCATCAGTGGTCACCGGACGCTGCCAACAGGAGGCTGTTGGTTGGATATTTTTAGTTAGTGAATTATTCTCAGTCCAGCAGTGACACTGAGGTGTTTAAAAACTCCAGCAGCACTGCTGTTTCTGATCCACTCGTACCAGCACAACACACAGTAACACGCGACCAGCAAGTCACTGGAGTGCTGAGAAAGATCCACCACCCAAATAACACCTGCTCTGTGGTGGTCCTGACCATTGAAGAACAATGTAAAGTGCACCTATATGATAAGTTGAGCTGATAAAATGGACAATGAGGGTGGAAACAAGGAGAAAGGTTTTAATGTTATGGCTGATGAGTATGTATATATATATATATATATATATATATATATATGTGTGTGTATATATATATATATGTATATATATATATATATATATATATATATATATATATATACATAAATAGATGTATACAATGCAAAAGAAAGGCTTGCCTTAGACTTTCAGTCAAACAATATTTAACATTTATCATCAACATCAGTGGCAGGACAAAGAGCCATTCTGACACAGGGAGATGCTAGTAATGTCACAAGCCTCCCTGTACATGCCAAGAAAAAGCTAAGCTCTACCTGCCTGCTGCTTATCCAGGTCAGCAGAGTGTTCACAGCCTCCGCCCTCTGACTTTAACATGACATTGTATCCACCCACCTCAGCCGCTTGGGTACGCGCCTAATATTCCACCACAATTAATCCATGTCAGCTCCCAAAAGACAGGCACTTTAGATTGGATTGGTATTCTGGAGGAGTGATTTATCATCTGCAGCCATTCTGGTGGGCAAGCTAAGCTACACACACTAGCGGCCAAATACTGTTGGCATAAAAAAACACAGTAACTATACAATTAATTATCAAGCACAGCTGAAGAAACAGAGCGAGGGCAACAATGGAAACGAATGCTTGAGCACGTGGCATGTTTGGGTTTGAGAGAGAAGCTGCAAAAGTAATACTGCATAAGCACCACTGGCACCAGGAAGAGCTGGGTGGGATTTTTCTCAGTCTGCTAGAAGATGCTCTGATCCTCAGAAAGGTCAGCAGAGAGAGTAGTGAGTGGTACGACACAGTAGGTAAGGATGGTGATTGAGCTTAGTATAAGTCATTACTAACTGGGTAGGTTTAACAGTCTCTTAATTATCCAATCTTCTTGTGCTAATCTCATTAGAATCATTGGACCATCTACAGTATCAATGTGCGTGGGAAGCTTAGTCTGTGCAGACCTCAGGTTAAAAACAAACACACTTGCTATTGTCCCTGGCTTTAACCGGGTCTGATCATACCCCAAACATGGAGGTGAATGACAGAGACATACTTAGGCGTGTTAAACCACATATGCCAAGGACTCATGAGTCCCATATTATTTCATTAACCAGAGCACTAGCATTTCCTTTGTGGAGACACACCACTGACTGACATCCATCTATAAAGCAGCACAAGTACATGCTTTTCTGCAATGACCCAGATTCCCCACAGAGCCAAGACTGCCCTCCTTTTGATTTGGATGTGTCTAATTTTAACCACCCTTGATTAATATGGCAGGGGGTTCATAAATAATGTGTATTGTGCACGCATAAGCATTCTCTCTTCAGAAATGTCTAACAAAGAAGACCAGAGGCCACTACATGCTTGATATACTCTTGATCAACCATAAGTAAACGCATGGATTTTCAGTTTATTGATTGCTCCTAGACAGATGGGAGGCAAAATGTCAGTCTGACACACAGATGATGGATTGTTTGATGGAATCAGATGTAAAGGACAACATTCAACAATTCAATTTCAACAATTCAACAGTTCAACAAAAATTGTCTTTAAGCTTTTGTTTCTTCATGTACTTTATTTTTATAAAGCATGACTAGTTTGCATTGTAATGCATCTAATAGTTAGAGATAGAGGAAGCTTGAAGTCTTCTTTTCCTCTTTAAACCAATACAAAGCTGAAAGAATCAGATAACAGACATTAATTCAGCAAAAAAATCAATGTAAATGCTATTAAAAACAGATACCAGCAACCTAACTGATTTGCTCTCTCTTATCATCTGCAATTCTTAAAAAAAAGTAAAAATATGAACATTCTGCAAATCTGTATTAAGTTAATTCTGCCCACAGATCAAACTCATGTAATCAACAATGTAATCAAGCAAATATACTGTTTTTAGTCCTGTTTTTAATTAACCATTAAGATCAACTGAAGATTCATAATATGTCTTTAGCTTTAGCAGGTAACAGGTGCACTGAAAAATGCAGCAGTCTACTGGAAACAGAAGATGGTCCACAGTGCACTGTGTCCAGCGAAGTGCCAGATCCCTCTGTGGCAGAACAGGATTATGCCTCTTAGGATTTCCCAGGGTATTCCCAGGTAGCGCTGCTTAATTTCTGGCAAACACAGGAAATCTTTGGCCTGGATCTGTGTTGCCGGAGGGACTCTGTGTCCTCCCATTCCAAATCAACATAAACTGAGTACAATGACTCCGCAGTCCAAGTTTCAGCAGGAACAAGGTTACTTCCTGTGGCTTCTTTGCACAATGTCCAGTCTGGAAAATATTAACATATATGTGCCAGAGAGTGTATGTGCTAACGTGTTATTGAGGAAAGCTTCTCCAAACCAGCACACCCATGGTGCTTTTGTGGAAAGACAACAAGAACTGATGATGTGCTTTCCTCAAGTACACTGAACACCTCCCCACACTTCTGAAGGCTTTACTTACACTGAATGCATATACACACGTCATTGACGTGTCGATCGGTCACAATATATACTGAACAAGTATCACATATAAGTTGGCATGCGTAAACAGAGTCACTGGTTGCTAGGGACTCTCCAGAGTTCGAAGAGCCCAGAATAGACAGCATCAGCCTGGGGATTGATGGTTCAAATCCTGGGATCTTGTGTCGGGAGCCGTGTGGGCCAACAGGCCGAGCTACAGCTAGAGGGCAATACGGGCAAATATAGTTCCCTTAAGCTGGATAAGAGAGACTGAGGGAACAGACTCTCCTTCATGGTCTGTCTTTCTTGTTTGCATATTAGTCAGTTGCATTATAACAACATCGTTGCACATTACATTAGTAGAACTGCGGCAAGAGTTCTTTTAAGTTCCTCATGTTGGTCCAGGCCATTTCAAACTTGTGACTAGCCATAACGTATTAAGCATCAAGACTGAGCAAATTAGTCAAAGGACCACTTTCACAATGGGTCTGGCCCATAAACAGCCTGACCAAAATAGATGCTAACACATGAGCTAATGTTAACTCTTTTTCCCTAGATGGCAAGGAAAGTGCGAAGGGCTCTATGCTTTTGTTCCAACATGGGAAATGGCGTGAAGAGGGGACTAAAGCTTCCTTTTCGCGTCGCTCTTTTCATTGTTCTCATCCATATTCATTGAGCGTCCTGCTCTCCATTCCGCCGCAGACGGGCAGAGAGAGGCGAGTGCCTCATCCAATCCCGCGCCGCCCTTTTCAAGAGCCCTGCCCAAAGCCCCCCGCCCTTCGGGAGATTTTTTCCTTTGACGCAGTGCTCTCGAAAAAGAAGAAGGAGAAGAAGAAGCAGCGCCCCCTTTACGCTAAAAAATGTTCCGAGATTAATAGGCAGACACGGCAGTGGTTGCCAAGGTAATCAATGGCCCTCCACCGTTGATGGAGAGATGGAGCGGGACCGACGAGAACGAGAGCCGAAAGAAGGAAGGGATCAGTGGGGATAGAGAGGGTGCAGGAGGGAGCAGTGCGAAGGGATGAATTCATGGCTCCCCGAACCAGCATCCGCAGCAACACAGCAGCCACCCTGCAAACTGCACAGTTAATCGGGGGGCTGGCCTGCCATGCAGCTGTATTAGGATTACTGTACAGCACTGTCAGTCGTCTTTGAATGAAGTGGGCCACAGTGTGGAAGCTGCTATTTGTCCTCCATGTAAATGTCTTAGGGGTTGGGGGTGGGGGAAATCTTCAAACACAGCTGGCAAATCATGTTTATGTAAGACCTCCTTTTGAGAGAGCTGCTTCAGCCTTCTCTTTCACCAACAGGAGACATCCCGTTCTTGCACCTTTCTCCAATGAAGAGAAAGATAGTAGCTTGATACTCAACAGTGGAAGAAGCTGTACCAACTTATCGATCGATAACATGAAAAAATGTATAGACCGGCTAACACATTTCCTGTGCCATCAGCTCTGTCGCCTACCTTTCCTGCCTCCTCCCAACTCCACACACACTTTCTCTGGCCCATTTTCTGTAAGCGGGTCACAGTCCCCTCACACTGCTCACCAAGGACATCTGCATCTCCTACTTCAGCCTCTACAAGCCTGTGCCTGTGCCAGTGCTTCCATTTACAAAATTACTACATTCTGCTTTATGCATTACATTATATCTCAGGGCAGAGTTCACTGAAACCAAGAGCAGGTTTATGGTAGTGATGGAGCTAAAATAGCACTACTCTCCTAATGACCTCCTGGCAAGCAAATTACTCTTGCTTTTAGCCAACTCACTTTCTCAATGCATGAAAGGGTTTTTTCTTCCTCTTCATCTACTTCTTACAAGTACATGATGAATTTACACTAACACTGTATATAAGGAGAAATGAGTGTTATTTGTTATTTGTCTAGTTTATTTCTATATAATGCAAATTAAGGAAAAACCACCTCTGTAATTATTTGTTTAACCTGTTATTGCATTACCTTAAAAAATATCAAGCCTAAAAACCTCAATTATAACAATACAAAAAAGCAAACTAATATCTAATCATTTTTACTTTTTTTTTTTATAAAATTATTTCATTTCAAAGCATGAGACTGCACCATGCTGTTGTAGTATATACAAGCAGTAAACAAACAAGCTTGACGCTCTCTCTATAAGTGGGTCATTTCTGTCTACTAAATATGAAGCTCATATACCATTACGAAATAACAGTAATAATAGCAATGGTATTCTTGATTTAACGTGTTCTCATTAAACCATGTGAAGTTTACTCTGTGGTAAAAGCCAAACAGGGCAAAATATCAAAATACACCACACAATACAGGCCACTTAATAAATGCAGTACACACAAGGCCATCTCTCCTTCCGCCATTAAAAATTCAAGGATAACCTACATTTTACAAATATAGCATCTAACTGATACTAATATGATAGATTAATACTAATATAACAAATGTGAGAAAATTATTGTAAAAAAATAACTGAAACTGAAAAATACATTATTTTATTTTCATTTCTAAAGGTTAATTTTTACTGTTTAATTTTCCAGTTTAATTTTCTGGTTAAAAATTGTATTCCATTCTAATCCTGTCAACTTTAACTATGCTATACTCATATACTCACTACTATTACTGTCAACATGATGCAATCTATTGCCAGTCTAGGTAACCATACTTTCTCCAAAAAAAGCTCTATTTGCTGTACAGGCCTTTTTAAGACAAAGCAGGTTTTAACTGGATCAAAACAACCTTAATATCAACACATCTATTTTTCTATTTAATGAAGTTGCACTGCAGTGATATTCTGAAGGATAATATGGGGATAGTGAACATTAACAGATAATCCGTCTCGGTACTGCAGGGCTGCTCTTTCCATCCTAACAGCCATTTCATTTGGCCAAATGGATGGTGTTTGTGTATAATGCCTCCCACGGGTGCAGCATGGTTTTGGCTGATTGGCAATGCGTAATGCTCTCCATCGATTCCTTCACATGCAAACAGCAGGCAAAGAGATGAATATGCAAGTGCGAGCTTAAACAGTATTGCACTGGGCAGATCCCAGTCCCCGTGGTCAGGGTGTGGAGGGCAGAGGGCAAATTCAGCTGTCCATTCTAACAGAAATGAATCAGCTTGTGAGAAATGGGCCTAGTGCGTGTACTGAACCTGAGTGCAATGATCTGAGATGTCTACGCACATTCAGCGTGATGCTGACAGTGTAGCCTAGTGACAGATTCGTGGGTTGGCATGCCAATGTTGAGCGGACACGGCTTGCATGGTCTAGGCCTTTATTTTGCTTAGCCTGTTTTATAATCATATACACTATGCATGGCTTTCATCATCACTTGAAAAGTGCCTGACGGTCTTTAGGCGTCCTGTTAGCTTCGCTCAGCGGCAAGCACTGCTTCATAATGCAAGGTCATCTGCGGTGATGCTAAGGATGCGGATGCGTTAGCCCTTCATTTTTTATAGTCCACCCTGACATTCGTCCACTCTTTATCGTCCCTGAACACTTATATATTTTAGTCTCGAGCCTTGTTAAAAAGAAAAACAAAACAAAAGTGGGGAGAGCAGCGTTAACTGTGGTTTTCATCATGCTAGGCTACAACCATCGCATCAGAGGCCGCGGTTATTATTATAAAATGGACGCACAGGGACTATGTTGCTCTATCCGGGTCCTATCTCCTGCATTTTGTGATAAACCCCAGCCACTTTCGCTCTCAATTCTCGCATAAGCATAACGGGACGAGGCTGAAACCGGCGTCAGCTTCTCGTTCGAATTATCCCGTTCCACCTTAAATGGTGCAGCAGTTACATTCTGAAGTGCCTGAGGCGCCAGAACGTTACTGTTGCACCACTTAAGGTGGAACGGGAGAATTCGAATAAGAACTTGACTCCAGCCTCGTCACAATGGGCCTGTTCCGAATGCAGAAGATGCTGCACGGTGAGAAAACACATCAACCTGCGACTCCTTAGCCGATCCCGACCATCCATCCCTACAGACAGGCGCTGAAAGCGGCTGCCACTCACCTCCCGTGTTGGTGCGCTTGGTGCTGCTGGCCTCCGTGGGGGTCTCCAGCGGTCTTTTGCGGGAGTCCGGCGGGTCTGACTCCATGTGCGGCTGCTGACTGTGGTGGTGCGGGTTGGAGAAGATGCCGTTCTGCTGCACTGCCCCTCCGGCCATCATTTTTCTCACGCCTGCTACGACTGCTGCCTCGTGCGGGCCCCTCTGCGTGTCTCTGTCTCTCTCCCTGTTCGGCACGGATGGAAATGTGAAGTGTGTGTAGACGGTGAAGAGAGCCTCCTCGACCGTGTGTGTGTATATGTGTGTGTGTATGTATGTGTGTGTATGGGGAGCCGAGGAAAGGCGAGCCTGTAAGCGCGCGATCAGCGAGTCACATCAACGACTGGAGGGCAGCGCGCGGAGGTCCGGCAGGCTGCTTCACAAGCGAGGAGAGCAGAGAAGATGAATTAGGGTATCTTCGTCTCGTGGCGAGTTTATTCCCACCTATGAAGCGCCGCTCCTGTCTTCTGTGATGACGCTCCTCGTCCTCATGGATATGCAGAGCCGGGAGGAAAATGTTAAAACAACCAGAAAAAGAAAATCAAAAGGCTAGACGACAAACGGGGCGAATAAGCAATGAGAAAACAAAGGTGGAGCAAATAATGTGACGCTGAAGACGCTCCTCGTCTCGTACATGAACGCAGCCCCGCGCGAGCTCGACGGGCTACACTCAGATATGTGTGTGTGTGTGTGTGTGTGTGTGTGTAAAAGTCCAGAGAAGAGAACGCGGTGCGTGAACACAAGCTCGACCGAGACGCCGTTTCTCTCTCTCTGTCGTTCTGTTGTGTTGTTGTTTTTTTCCGTGCTCGTGCGCTCTGAGCGGAGGATGCTGCAGTCTCACAGCATCTCTGTGCGGACCGTCGGGGAGCGAGCGGCGCGTGACGTCACAGGGCGCCATGTCAAATGTGGAGCCGGAGCGCTGCCCATCTCGCGCTCTGATTGGACGGAGCAGGTTTTGAGCCAGCCAATCAGGAGAGAGAGAGAGAGAGAGAGAGAGAGAGAGAGAGAGAGAGAGAGAGAGAGAGAGAGAGAGAGAGAGAGAGAGAGGTGGGGGGGACCGTGGGACGGTGGGGGCGGAGCTCGAAAAGGCGAGAGCGAGAGGCGTCATTCCAGCATCATGGCACTGTGCTGATCAGTGGAGTATAACAACACAGTGGCGATGAATATGTTTTTTTTTTTTTACAACAGCTCATCAAATGTTCTGCATTAATATAAATGAAGAAATCCATATGCATCTGTAAGTGAAAGTGGAAAGAGTAGGCGTGTGCTACTAGGAAAGGCCGCTTCTTGCTATAAGTGGTCTAAGCGGTCGCTTAGGGCTCCTGGGACACAAGGGGCCCCTCTGAATATCGAGTGTCAGTCATGATATTTGTAAAAAAAAAATTGAAATGATGATAATTAACAATCATGTTGTAATTTATTTTATTTGTATTTATTCATTTATTTATTTATTTGACTGGTACAGATAGTGAGTGCCTGGTATGCAGTAAATTATTGCTTTATTGTGGTTACTGTGGCACTTTTTTCCTGAACAGTATGAATGAAATGTTCACTCTTTTTCATTTTTGCATACAAAATAATATGTAAGTTGAGACCACCCTCAGCTAAATGTCACGTAGGGCCACCGAATGTTCAGAAAAGTCAAGAATTTTGGTACTCACCACCAAACCCCTTTACTCTAAATATATAAACATAAGATAAAGTAGCTTTTTAAAGAGGTTGACGGTTGACGGCTGATAGGACAGTACATCTCCTTCACTGGACATTTCAAGACATAGCCCAACGCGTTTTCATGCCTGCAGATTGACTAATTTGACGAAATAACCATCTGTTTGACTGACTGCTCCCAGTAGTGTCACATAGTTTGGGTAACACGTTCCTAAATTGGTAGTTTGAGTGTACATCTCTTCAGTCTCAATGTTTTTTGATGGTGTTTCGAGAGATAGTTTCTCATGGAGACTTGCAAGCCCATATTGTTCTTAACTAATAAATTGTAACACTATATAACATAGTACCAATATTTCCCACACATAGCCCCCCCCCCAAGTGTTTTGACAGCCACCCAAGTATATTTTGTCCACTTCCAAAATATTATTGCTCTATTGTGCTTGTGTATATATATATATATATATATATATATATATGTATATATATATATATATAGATAAACTCATTTACATAGATTTGTTATTATCATTGTTATTACATTACAAAAAATATCATTATTATATAGCTTATTTATTATTTTTAGTCCAAACCACACATGCCTTATTTGAAGATCCTATTAAGTAAAAAGACTATTGGGATAAGCTCAAATTTATATATATATTTATATATCTGAACAATAACACCCCTCTCTTCCCCCACCCCCTACTCCACCCCCAAGTATATTTCAGACCTGTGGCAAAACCTGTAATACCATTATTTTTCTCTTAAGATTGTGTTATTCCCATTACCCTATTTATGAAACCCATTTGTCCTTTCCAGTTTTGCTATAATAAGGCACAATCTTCCTCTTTGTGGGTACCAGTGTTTGGTTTAAATTATGACTATATCATTTTATAGAAATTGCATGTTGCACTGACAGTAAACTTGGACCCAGACTAATATAAGACGTATTTATTAAGTCTACCTAAAAGCAACGTTACATACATCGATGATTAGCAAGGCCTCTTTTAGGCTGACTTTCACTGGATTGAAGAAAGATGCATAGTGCTTCAAAACAGCTGTTCAGTGCTCTAGATCTGCATTATGTTTCCAGAATTGACTTGTTGTTCCGGTCACTCAGAATATGGCTGTCATGAGTTTGTGGTTGTATAAATAGTTTTATAAATGAGTTTTTTATAAACGTGTATAAAATGAAATGTTTTTTTAATGTTATGTTATCATCATTGTAATTGGCTAGATTGGTAATAAAAATTAATTTCATCCCTATAAGAACAGTTTTAGTTAATACCTGCACTGAAGCATTTACAACACAAATTAAATATGGCTTGCTTTTTGCAACCAGTGAAAGACAGTTCTTAAAGAAAGGTGGAAAATAACAGAAACTCATGAACAGAACCTGAGCAGGATCAGGATCACTTGAAATGAAACTCCTCTTTACATTAACTGCTGGCTGAGCACTGACACATACCTTTCACATACTGTAGCTGCCTCTAACATTCATGCTCTCTCTCTGTCTTTCTCTCTCTCTCTCTCTCTCTCTCTCTCTCTCTCTCCACACACACAGACACAATCAAGCTTGTGTTCCTGTGTCCACACTGAGTCTGATGTAAAGAGGCTCTCATAGAACTCCAGATTCTCAACAAGGTGATACTGCATCTGGCCATCTCGCAGTTTCGCATAGCTGTGGAAAAACTCATAAGCGAGCCAAAATTGTGGACGAAACCTATTCTGTTAGGAAATCCTGCTCTGAGGAGTCCTTGTTTATAGCTACCGAGGGAAATGAATGATAAGTCTGCGGCTGGGGACTTGCCCATAGACAAAATTTTATGGATGCACAATGATATCAGATTCATACCCGTATCAGCAGATATTTGCTTAAAAATGCTCAGCATGAGACAGATGTTTACATTTGGTATTTCAAACTGATTTTTAATGATATATTTATTTTACTCCACAATGGCAGAACGTATAGGTAATGCTGGGTTGCTGTACTACAATGTCTGTAGTATTCTTTTTACTGCATTTGTAACCCAACCGAAATCAATGTAGAGATTCTCTGGGTCACTCCACAGAAACGTCCACTTTTCTATCTCTCCATGGGTGTCATGTGTCACTGGTGTTACCCATCCTCGTTGGTGTTACACATAAGAAAGGTAACACCAGAGACAGTAACACTAGTGACATTTTTTTTATGAAAAATGCATTTTACAAAATGGCTGCTACAGAGCATCAAACCACATGTTGTCAATCATGGAATATCCACTAAAATATGTAATTTAATCAATTTGTATTCTATTTTTTCACAATTACGTAAGAATAAAGTAGGTCACACCAGTGACTTCAACTAAAAGCTTCAAATGAAATCATGAGCTAAATGAGAAAATGTCTGTTAACTGAAAAGACACAGTGGACTTACCATGTGCTTTTTTCATAGATCTTCAGACAACAGGTAAAAGGAAGTCAAGTGATGTCATCAGTGTGATTTGTATTTGAAAATAAGAGATTTTTTGTTATGCTGTAACACCAGTGATACAACTCCTGAGGACAACAACTTTCATTATATATGTTATAATATTTATTTGGCATTTGTTTCCTTTATATCATTTAATTTATACATTCCGTAGTCATGTGTAAATTATTGTAGTTAAAATTGCAGAAAAATGTGTTTTTTTCTTCAGAATACGGTGCTCACCCTCTATACATGACTGTGGGGAGGAGCACCTCTGTGGTGCTTGGAATTCTATATGATTTATTTAAAAACCAATACTGCTGAATTGATGGTTTAAGAAAATATAATTTAAAATATAAATGAATTGTAACCCTAATATGTTTTTTAAGTGTAATATATCTGTAAACACTAGAGACATAAAAATGGACGCTTCTGTAGAATGACCCGTCTACATTTTGTGTACCTGCATCAATATCAGCTTCAGCAGATCTGCATATGAAAATGCAAATCCAACATCAGTGCATCCCTACAAATTTCTATTAAATGCCATTTGCAAAAAATGTATCAAGTGCCTGTAGCCCGTTTATTAGAGTCATGCGCTGTTTAAATTGAGGAGTAAAGTGACTGAGATATGGTTTAATATTATAAAGTGTAGGGTACCAGATACTGCATGATAAACTACAGCCTGTCAATGCCATATTCAGCCAGTTGCATCGGTTGCCATGGAGAATAAAACCCTCTGAGGTGCACTCAACGAAATTCCTATGAGTGAATATTTCTTCAGGGACACCATATGAAAAGGAAAAAGGGAAAGCTTAAGGGGTACTGCGCAGTTTTTCAATGTAATCTCTATCTGCAACATCTGTAGATGGTCGATTCCTACAGACAATCATTTCAACACATTTCCCTGTACATAAAAAGAACCGAAAACTTATTGACTCAAAGCACAATTACAGTATAATCCTTTGGGCAGTTGATGAATTCGTTCAGCAAGAATGTACATTAAACATAATTATTTCTTTCACGTGATAGGTTTTCCAGATGGAGGACTTTCTGGTAGCGTACTATGCTCTAAAACACAGGGGTATTCCTTTAAGACCCCAGTACCTTTAGCCCACAGTCTTTGTAATACTTCACAATGTGTATTCATAACTAAAAATTCTGTAAAATTGTGCAGATCTGTAAACAACATACCATTCATTTAAGTGACTATTCTGGACTTTGAATTCCTAATCAAGGCTGCCTTGTGATTATTGTTATATATAGCCTCGATTCCAAGCTAGTGTATCATCTGGATAAACAGGAATACTGCAATGCAATTTGGAAAACTGGTGGAGGTAGGGAATCAATCAGAGACTCTCCACTCAGTTCCACAGTGAGATTTCACTAGATCTAGACCTTGTAGAATGCTTGAGAACAGGACCCGTCAAGACCATCGCATATGTAATTCAGTAACAACTCCTTCATAAATCATTATGATGTAAACAAAATCAGTCAAAGTGGTTTGACATAAAATGTTCCATTCTAGAGAAATTTACAGAGTCAGAATTTTTCACAGTGGTGGTGATAGGAACCAAACATCTGAAGTATTTGATGCCTTTAAAACTGCAACACAGAAAGCTATTATATGAAATGGTTATGAATATGCTGCCTGATGCTTGATAGATTCATTTATTATAGTTTTCAAATGACTTTTTATGCCCTAAAATGTATTATTT